AAGAAAACGACGATCATTATTGCGACAAAGTTATTTGCTCAGTGCCCTCCCCAACTTAAGGCGCTTGAAAGGTGTGTTTCTGTGTGTATGTATAATTAGTGCATATGTGTGTGTGTGTACGTGTAGTCACGAGGTCCCTAACGGTTATATTTACACTCGAAGCACTCGAAGCTGTCACTCTTACGATTTACTTTAACATCCTACGCTGGCGACGATATCGACGATTAAACACTAAATATACATAGGTAAGTTCCGATCGTTGTAGACGCTACGCGTGTTTCCCTCTTTGTTTCGTGGAACGAGAACTGTTGTTTCGCGTCACGTTACTTTTCTTTAAATCTCTTCCATAAATTATTTATTACAATTTGCACAGAAATTTTCTGGAGGGTTATAGGACTCTATTCTGCAAAAATAAAGTTTGTGTGAATTTTTAAAAGTGCGATTAAATTATGTGTTTTAAAAATTGGGGTGTGGACAACTTGTATTTGTCGGCCATCTTGTATTAGAAATTTTAAGAAAATTCTTAGTAAATTTGTTCAAATTGGTACCACAAGTTTTATTACTTATGTACATAATATAATAGTGTCACCAATATTGTATTAGATCTTTTCTATATTCAAAGTGAACTGATTCCAAGTTGTTAAATATATTTTACAAAATTTACAATATTCAAGAACGAAATGAAAATATGTGGTATTCTAGAAGTGTCAATAAATTGCGTCAGAGGTTTTATATTCTGAAGTATTTAATTCAAGAGGATTTAATAAAAAAGAAATTGAAAGAAAAGTCGTCGACGCGAAGCACCCGCGATTGCCAACCCTTCGATTCCCGTTCGATTTTATTAGTATTAGTTTCCTTAATATATCACAATGTGGTCGGTTTTCTTTTCCGTACACGTGCTATTTATTAAACCATACTCTTCGCGTCCTTTCCTTTTACGTACACATGTATTTAGTTATTGTTGTCTCATCCCTGTATTGTCGATTCCTTACGTCAGTTAATCCCTCGATTTTCCTCGTTGCATGAAGGCGATGTCGGTAGTAATAGAGAAATAAAGTCGGGCTTATACAATATATTTATATTTATATGTATATCGTTAATATACGTTTAAAAATCGCCGTCGCACAATAATACGCATTACCTTTGTGTATATATATATATATCTATTTATATATATATTTGTTCTTCCTTCATATACTGTATATATACATCGCATACATACGCGCGTGCGCGTGTGTGACTGTTTACATGTGTGTTTTCTTTTATGTGTCGCAGTAAAAATATTTGTTTAATAAATGCATGTACTTATTAATCTCACAGACAATCAAATTTCGATTTTTAATAGAAGCATACATTTCTGAGTTGAGGCTGTGTTTATATTTCATATTCGTTCATTTTATTTCGCTATTCGATAAATGACACACAAAGTTCAACCCTTTGTTGCATGATTTTTGTCAACACACTAACAAATGTGTCTAATAAAAACATGATGGGAAAGAAATTTATTTATGGAAGAGACGTGTGATATAAAACAAGACAGAATTATGAAGGGCAAAAAATATTATTTCTTGCGAATAAACTTTTGGAAAATAACTTAAGAGAGATCTGACATTTAAGGATGACTTATGACTTCTTAATAAAGTAAAATACATCATACTTAATAAAGTAGAAGAATGTCACATTATATATAACCTAAAATGTCATATCTACCTAACCTCAAAATAGAAAGCAACGAAGGGTTAACCTCAATTTTTAAACCCACGAGAAAAATTAAAATAGATCAATGACGTCCTTCCTCTAACACGTCAGAAATGTATGCTCAAAGAATTTTCTGAAAAAATCCTAATTTACCAAAGAAATATTTACTGCAACACGTGTATAAATTAATTTCATTAAAGGTCGCCATAATACTGCGATAATAAATTAATACGAATGCATGAGAGCACGCGCGCACGCGCCTCCACACGAAACACATCCGAGATACTCAATTATTTATTTGACGTCAGTCTTGTGTGAGGCGGGATCGAAGCTCGCTAGCGTTCTCCTTTTTCCCACAAATCTTCCATCCCCTATAGTTTCTTTCTTTACCCCCGACTCGTTCGATACCATCGCGTCGATCTTCTTGCTCGTTCGTTCCCCTTATATTTTCCTTTTTTTCTCCGCTTCCAGCCACAACGGATAACTGACGTTCGCTTAATCACGCGACCAACTCGAGAATCGAGCACCGATTATACTTGAGCCCGGCAATTAACGGCGATTAATTATCGGACGTGTGTCGATTCGACGCGACCGAAAGTATCTTATTCTACAGCTCCGCCATTTTGGTACTCGACAAATCGATAACGCGCCTCGGTAAAAATATCACATAACAAATTCTTTTACATGCGCACATAGTTGAACATGAATACTTGAATAAAATTTCTGTGTATGAAAAATATGATCAAACTTATATTCATTTGCAAAATTGAATTTAATTTCTGTGTATGTAAAATCAAATCAAATTTGTATTCATGTAAAATTGAATTAAATTTCTGTGTATGTAAAATCAAATCATATTTGTACTCATGTAAAATCGAATGAAATTACTGTATATCTAAAATCAAATGAAATTTGTACTCATGTAAAATTGAATTAAATTTCTGTGTATGTAAAATCAAATGAAATTTGTACTCATGTAAAATTGAATTAAATTTTTCTGTATGTAAAAGTGAATTCAATTTCCCTGTATGTAAAATCAAATCAAATTTATATTCATGCTAAATTGAATTAAATTTATGTATCCATAAAATCAACTCAATCTTTGAAATCATTAGCATATCAAATTTTTATGTATGAAAAATTCAGACATATTTTATGCATGAAAAATTAAATTAAATTTGTGTGCATAGACGATAATTTTATATGAATATACAGGACTTAAAAATGCTTTTATATGCATATAAAATTATAAGATACTTCTGTACATAAATTAAAAACGCGTTGAAATGTATATACAAAATTAAAATATGCCTTCATATGTACACATAAAAATTAAATGCTGTAGATAAATATAAAGCATACTAGTTGTAGATACATAAATATAAAAATTGCTTTATGTATACAGATACATATAATATATTTCATTAAAACTGTTAAACTAAAAACTGTCCAGAACCTAAAATTTTAAATTCTAAGTGATACCAAAAATGGATTCAATAAATACATACACCTCTTGTATTTCTAATATTTTTCTAAAAAACAGATTATGTATAAATCTCGTTAGTTTTGAGGTTACGTATCAGTTTGAGATATCCAAGATGGCGTCAAAGAACAGATCTTCACCGTCATTCATCTCGAAATCGATAACGAGCTCGATCCGGTTGCACATGCGCGGCGGAACGGTGAAACTCCTTCTGGAAATCCGCTCGTGCTTTTCCTCCTTGTTGTTGTGTTTTTCCGCGCGGAAACGCGACACCGCGAATTACAATTCTTTCGTCGAACTCCGCTTTAACGAACGTTGCGCTCGCGGATTACACGCGCGGTTACGCGGCGCGGAATTAATGCGGCAGTGAGCGGGAAAACGGCCGCGGAACTCGAGCTTTGGGTGAACCTTGTCAACGAAAAAATGCGACTCTGGTTTTCTAGTTCAAACGACACTTTTCAACCGTGTAACTCGTTCGGAGGTTGAATTTTAAGAGACGGGGTTAAAATCATTTTTTTGTGCATTTCGACCTGGGTGCACTGGATAAATTGAAGGTTTACGAAACCCTTGATTTCGCTGGAAAAAAAGTGGTTTAGAATAAATTTTTGATAGAGTGTTATTTGTGAAATTCTTCGAATATGTTCCTCGATTAGACAAGTATAAATAAGTTTCTGAATTTATGTGAAATATAATGATTTTTGTTCTTAGGACAGTTGTGAAGAAACTTTACATGTATTAAAAAAAAATAGTTTTGTTACAAATGCATACAAAACCATATGGCTAAAAATTGATCCTCAATCTTTTGAAAAAATTTTTAATAATAATATTTAATAACTGTAATTACTATAAAATCAATATGAGACCCATCAAGAAATAAATATAGACGAATATAAATATAAATAAAGTCATGTTGAATTCCGCCAAAGAGAACAGAATTGACTACAGAAAAATTCAACACAAAAATTATCTACAACTATTAACCTTCCTGTATACAAAATAATTTCAAACTCTCCCATAATAATATCGGTTAATTTGAAAACGTTTCAACCCCCATTAGAATCTTGTACAACGTGCTTGGTTCATGGTCGTGCACCTGTACTCGCTAAAACTAACAGCAAAATAGAAATCGCAAAGACTCGTGGAACGGCCATTTTGGGAACTCGAGCTCCGCGTAGCGAGCGTTTCGAGATCTCCGGAAGAGTCACTCGTGCGCAATAACGCTGTCACTAAACTGATATGCCAATTGTAGTTACAACTCCGGTTATACGGTTCATTTTACCCGCCAGGAAGCGGGTCTATTTAACGCGACACTCGAGATACACTCGAATACAGTGTAGGCTTCCTTTGGATAAGGGCTACTTTAAGGGCTACTTTGGGGGTGAAATGCATAAACTTGAAATTTTTGTATTTTCATATTGCTGGATTTAGTTTTTGAGATTGTAGATTCTTGAATTTGTGGATTTTTAGATTTAAAAATTTTGAGATAGATTTTTTGAAGCTGGGAATTTTTGTATTTTAGTTTTTGGGTGTTTGAATTTTTCTGATTTCTGGATTTTCAAGATCCAGAATTTATCATAATTCTGAATTTTCAAATTATAAAATTCTATAGACTCAAAATTTTGAAGTTTTCAAATTTCTCAAATTTCCAAATTCTTAAACCTGAAATTTGTCAAGCCCCCAAATTCTTAAATTCTCAAATTTCTAAATTTACAAGATTTTTAAGTTTCCAAATTTCCTTCCCCAATTTTCAAGGTCCCAAATCTGTAATTTCTCAAACACTCCAAATTTCCCAAATTCCCCAAATTCCCTAAATTTCCATATCTCAAACTTTCCACTCCCCAAAATCCCCAAATCTCAAAGTTCTTAAACCTTGAAGTCCCCAAATCTCGAACTATCAACCCCTAAAAGAACAATCAATCCCCCAAATTTCTAATCTAAAAATTTCTCCCCCAAAATCCTCTCCTTATATCGCCGTTTTCCTTACGGAAGCCCACGGTGCTTACTCTACTGTACGCTTCGAAAGTGCGCCAATGGCAGTGTTCGAGAAAGATATCGACGAGATCGACCTTGTCGAAGCTGTGCTCGGTCTAATTGGACTTTCGAAAATTGAACAGGAAAGAACGACGCGCCGATAGGGAAAAATTTTCGAGCCTCGTTGCAGTCGATTCGATCTCTCGTGTCATCTTCTCCTCCTCTTCGTCCTCTTCTGCTTCGTTTCGACGCTAACGGCGCTCGAGTATTTCGCTGTGCCTTCAGCATCCATCGTCGAACGATTTTCACGGTGAACCGCGCATCGATCGTTTAAAAAATGAGAAGGAATTTCGCGAAGAGAGAAAACGATCGGTGGAAACGCGACGTAGAGAAAAAGCGAGATGATTTATGAGAGACACATGGATGCTGAAGGGTTGGATCAACCGTTTGATCTGTGTTTGATGCACGAAATTCGTACCTTCGATTCAGCGTGGTTTCTGCAGGACACAACGATCCTTACGCGTATCTGTGCAAGGAGTGCTCGCGGCGCTTGCTTCCTCTGCGCTCGCGCTCGCAAACGGGCTCCGGGCTCGGCGGGTTCGAGTACGTCAGGTTACTGGAGCCTCGGGGGGGTGGCGCGCTCATCGGGGGAGGGGGCGGCGGGAAAAAACTCTGCAAACATGCCTGCAACATCAAACATTAGAATTAAGTATGAAGATTAAGACATTTTTACACTTGACCGCCATGTTGGAGCAACTCAAAATTTTATTAGATAGTGTTTTTACTAAATATTTTCATATTTTGCTATTTTTGTGATGTGGCAGTCAAAGTACAAAGATAAACACAATTTTTACACTTGACTGCCATGTTGAAGCAACTCAACATTTTATTAGATAGTGTTTTTACTAAATATTTTCATATTTTGCTATTTTTGTGATGTGGCAGTCAAAGTACAAAGATAAACACAATTTTTACACCTGACTGCCATGTTGGAGCAACTCAAAATTTTATTAGATAGTGTTTTTATTAAATATTTTCATATTTTGCTATTTTTGTGATGTGGCAGTCAAAGTACAAAGATAAACACAATTTTTACACTTGACTGCCATGTTGAAGCAACTCAACATTTTATTAGATAGTGTTTTTACTAAATATTTTCATATTTTGCTATTTTTGTGATGTGGCAGTCAAAGTGTTAATGTACTTGAGAATGCATTAAATATATTACTATAAGAGGGAGTATAAATAAAAATAAAAGTGAACCTACCTTCGCGCTACCCCTTGATGAAGACTTTGAGAACACGCTATCCTGATCACTGCTTACACTAGGCACAGGCATTGGTACCGCGTAGTCATAAGTGGCATCTGTGAACAGAATGTTCAAATCTTCAATCCTCCAAATTTATCAATTTCTCAAACTTGTTTCAATTTTCAAGGTATGTTTGATTGATTGATTGATTTTATATGGGCCTCGACTGCTGTGGTCATTGGCCCAAGACATCTTTGAGAACGGTTTCAAACTGGGAAATTGACACTCTCCTACCATATAAGACTTCATCAAAAGATTCTATATTAATATATCATCTAGTGGAAGTCCCTTCAATGAACACAGCAATTCATGTCACCGGATACTCATGTCACCGAGTTAAGTAAAATCAAACGCATGAAGATCGAATCAGTAATCTAACAAGCGTGTCAACAAGTGTCCCAAGTGTCAAGACATCAGCGGACATCGATCGTGCTCACCAGACTGCTCAACGTTGTCGTGAAGGTCCTTGTTGTCTATAACAACGGTGCTGTATCCATAATAAGCAGCATGAGGTGGTTCCCGGTACTTGCTCTCGTGGAAGGGTTCCTGGTACTCGTCGAGCCTGACATCGCCCAGCAGACGATCGTTCAAATCGCGAGGTAGCGTCGTCAGCTTGGTACCAGCGTACCTGTCGTCCAGCTCTTCGACTCTGTAGGTCATCAACGACGGATCTTTCTCCGTGGTGCCGTACGCGGATTCCGGTGATAGATGTTGATGATTGCCCGAGGGTATCGCGCTCTTGGTGCTCAGGGGACTAGCGAAGTTCTTGCGTTGCCTGTGTCGCGTGACGATCAGGAAAATCGCCACGGCTAACAGGAGGATCACGGCGGTCAGGACTCCGATAATCACAGCCATGTAGGTCGGATCATCTTGCTTGACGACCGGCACCTCGGCCTGGAGAGGATTGTCGCGCGCTGAAATTCGGTCTCTTTGTCTGGGTGCTTCGGTCGTCGGCGGTGATTCCGGTGTGAAGTTTCCGTGAGCTATGTCTGAAACAGAAATTGTTCCTTTGTGCTTTCGTGTTTTGGGAGAATGGGTTTTAGTCGGAATGTTCGAGGCTGAGAGTAGTCAAGGTTTGGGGTATGGTCATTAAATTAATACTGTTCGAGGTTGAGGCTAGTCGAGGTTCAAGTCTGTAGTCATATTAGTTGTAGTCTAGATTGAGATATTCTTTATAGTCATATTTGCAAATGTATTTTAATTAGGGACCTGATCATCTAGATACTAGACATTCAATCTGGGTCCTGGAGTCCTGAAGCTACTCTTCGAACGAAAATTTTAAAAAGACTACAAAATGGGTCTACATATTGGACAAATATAAAAGTATAACTATATACATAGTTGACAAATATAAAAGCCTCTGTCATAATTATTATCTGAGTAATAAACGTAGCACATACGTTCTAACAATAAGTAACTATACATAAATGTATGTATATCAAGAATCTAGGATGATTGGGATGAAGATATCAGAAAATGTTATCTGACCTGTTATCTGACAGGTTCAAAGTGCACGATATCTCATTTCGAGTGTGACGTAGGTATGCGTCACGACCATGTGTTAGGTCACGTATGACACTCACCGGAATCAAATGTGATCTCGCTGATCATAATCCATCTGGAGGCGAAGCTGAATCTCAACTTGACAAATTTGCCGATACGATGGTGTAGTTTGATGGAGATGTTCCTCGAGTGCTCGAAGATCCTGTCCTCCATGTAGGAGTACACGATCGCATCGCCGGTGTAGTAGCGACCGCCGACACTGAACATTATACTGGCTTCGGAGAACACCTGTTTAAAAAACAGAAACATTGTCTTTTCAACGGTGAGGTAATCAAAGGTCTTCGCAGATTAACTTTTATTAAACTAATTCTTAAGTCCCTGAATTTTTACATTCCCAAATATCAGTTTCCCTAAATCGTTGAATTCCCACAAATCCGAAAAGTCCTGAAAAGTCAACGAAGTACACAGTCCCCGTTCGCCATATTTTCCGCCGTAAAGCCACATTTGGCATAACAGTACACATTCCCATGAAATATGAACGTAGGCCATGCATTGTCCATTTTTCAGCGATCTTAATTCCCGCAATAATATCGTCCATGAATCACGTGCCAAATCTCCTAGGAGGAACTAGCGCAAATCATAGTACGCTCCAGAGAGCGCATTCTAAACGAGGATGTACAGAACGCGTGTACCCATAAAGCACGTTACACGAGAAATATGTAAAACATGTCGCGGCGAACGTTATTTCAGACAGTGTAATGAAGTTGCCCATTGTGTACGGTAAACGTGATGCAGTGGCTAATATTCAGCATTAATTATATGCATAAATCATCATCCTAAGAGGAGTCGGTGCGTGGAGTCCCGACAAGGCACCCAGGCCTGTGATATTAATATATCCCGCAGTTCCTCTTCCACAAATACGGCCCCGGCTATTTATTGCGGATATAACGAGCGACTTTATAGAGGCAACACTCGGTTGACATCGACGACTTCGATAATTGCGAGCCTCCTGCAGGTGATTGTGCGTTCGCCAGCAAGCGGGAGGCGCGTGGAATGCTAATTCCGATCCGGGAAAGCGTAAGATAGTTGCGCGAATAGAATGCCTGCCGGAAACTGAGAGCAGGACGGGAACAGAAGGAGAGAGATAGCGCGGAACGAGGGACGTGGAAACGGAGATCACAAAGCTGAGATTATCTAACTCTCTTAGCTCTGAAGAAGAACGCGTGATGCGTATGGATTTTCAAGGCAGCCTTGCTATAACACAGAGAGGCTGAGGGAAGATGAAGACGTGGCCGCGAAATCGTCGACGCTGACGAGAGGCACGCGCGGATCAGAGAAAATTGCAGTTCAACGTAAGCTCTTATTACTTGTTGGAGACGTGGAAAAGTTTGTTTCGCGAATGTAAGATCTGTAGTCCAAAAATATGAACACTTAGGAAACGTGATAATCAAAAGGTGTTTACACATGATCGAGAGGTATGTCCATCATTAAACACAAGGGGTTAAAAAGTGAATAATCCAGAAGGATTATAGATAGTCCAAAAATATGAACATTTAGAAAACGTGATAATCAAAAGGTGTTTATACATGATCGAAAGGTATGTCCATCATTAAACGCAAGGGGTTAAAACGTGAATAATCCAGAATGATTATAGACAGTCCAAAAATATAAACACTTAGGAAAAGTGGAAATCAAAAGGTGTTTACACATGATCGAAAGGTATGTCCATCATTAAACGCAAGGGGTTAAAACGTGAATAATCCAGAATGATTACAGATAGTCCAAAAATATAAACGCTTAGAAAAAGTGGGAATCAAAAGATGTTTACACATGAACCCATCATTAAACGCAAGGGGTTAAAACGTGAATAATCCAGAAGATCGGGTTCGAATCCCCGCGGAGGGCCTCGAAACACACAGCAAACTGGTATCAAGATTTATTTGAATGGAGCGGCTCATTACCCGGCTCGATTGTGTGCTCGCGGCCAAGATGGAGAGTGGCGATGTAGAGGCGGAAAACGAGAGGTGGCGATGGCAAGGGCAGCAGAAACGACGTATCGGCTCTCGAAGGGGAACCGTTCCTTCCTTCTCGGAGGAACGGTTCTCGGAAGACAGGAAGGGAACGTCGAGAAGCGAGCGAAACGTTTAGGCGTTTCTCTCTCGTGCACGCACAATGGCAGCAACCAGCCGAAGAGCAGATACGCCACGTATTCAAATACAATACCGACAGTCTGGCAAGTCGGCAGTCTATGGCTGAGCTAGGAGAATGCAAGGGGTAAAAGATGGTAGCAACCGCCCCTAAACGTCCCCTTCTATTAACAAGCGCCCGCTCGCGCGGATAGGACACGTCTTCTGAAAGACGGCACTTCAAAGCTTCGCTAGTTTTGCCCTGCGTCTTGCTCCTAGACTTCGACACTTTTGCTATGCCATTGTTCCAGACAAATTGCACTTTTCAAATTTTGTCAAGTGATGTGGATTGTAGATTTTGAACTATTTTTTACTCCACAGTAGAAACGATGATGTTTCTGACGATTTTATTGCAGATTTGATACTTTAATTCTTGATAACAAATGTGGTATTGTCGAGTAACTGGAGTTAAGTTTATAAAATAGAATTCTAGACTCGAGGGAAATTTCCAACATGCAGAGGAATATTTTTCTCGTTGGGTAACAGAGGATTGTCCAGGGTAATGAGGGCTCGCATTGAAATAAATCTTGATACTGCGGGTATTATATAGAAATTGGTGGCCGGAAGCAGGCGGGACCGGAAAATTTTCGCAGAAACTAGCAGCAGTCAGCAGGCGTAGTTCGCACCCTGTAAAGTCGCAGCGACTGTTGGCTCGTTTCCTCTTTCTCTTTCCATCCGTTCAAAGCCAGGGGCTAACCGTTGTTGCGCCTCGTTACCCATCCTACGTCTGACCTTGACTCCGTAGAACCTGGATTTCATAGTGTACCTCCCTCTCGTTTCCTTTCGTTCTGCGCGGATTAAAGGCTGGCAGCGGGGATCTTCGCGCGCATTTCGCCACCACCTCTTGTTTCCATTCTACCCCTCTTGCTTATCTTTTCCACGCGTTCCTCTTTATTCCGCTCAACGTATAGTTTCCATTTTATCCTCCTCTTTTTTGTAGCGTCGCTCTGTATCGTAGCCCCGCGTTGGCGAGCCGCCCCGGGCCCTTCCAATTTCCTCCCTGTCGTGCTCGCGTCTGGTCGAGCTCTTTTTTTCGCGCGTTTTCGCGGATGTTCGGTGAACGATCATAGAGGAAATTTGAAAATAACGTGGCCGGGGTTGCGTTCAAAGAGATTGCTGATAAAGGAGGACGCGCTGGAAATTCCATCGTCCACCGAATATCGATGGCGATACGGATAACGAATCAAAATATTAAAATTTAAAGTGGAACGATTCACCTGCGGTTCTATTTTCGCGCGAAAATTACGGAACTGTTTGCGGGAATAAATTATTGGGGGAACATTATGGAATTTGAATGACGTTAAGAGGGTGCATTTTCGACGGTTTTGGGTTGCATTTTTAATGGTTTCAACCGGAATTCAATTTTGGGAATGGGATTCAATTTTCGACGATTTGTGGAGGATTCTATTTTGGACGACTTCGATGAGATTCAATTTTTGAACGAGATTAATAGGATTGAACGAGTTTAACAGGATTCAATTTTGAACGATTTTAAGAAGATTAAATTTTGAACTGTTTCGAGAGAATTCAATTTTGACAAACTTTAATAGGATACAATTTTTAACGATTTTCAGAAGATTCTATTTTAGACGACTTCGACAAGATTTAATTTTGAACGATTTTCAGAGGAATCAATTTTGAACGACTTCGACAAGATTTAATTTTGACCGATTTTAGAAGAATTCAATTTTTGACAAGTTTAACAGAACTCAATTTTGATCAATTTTAAGGAGATTAAATTTTGAACTATTTCAAGGGAATTCAATTTTGACAAACTTTAATAGGATACAATTTTGAACGATTTTAAGAGGATTTAATTTTGAACGACTTCAATAGAATGCAATCTTGAACAAGTTTAATAAAACTCAATTTTGAACGATTTTAAGCGAAATCATTTTTGAATGATTTTAAGAAAGTTGGTTTTTGAACAATTTTTAAGAGAATTCAATTGTGAACAACTTTAATAGAATACAATTTTGAACGATTTTAAACGAAATCATTTTTGAATGATTTTAAGAGGGTTGGTTTTTGGAGAATTTTTAAGAGAATTCAATTGTGAAAATCTTTAATAGAATACAATTTTGAACGATTTTAAACGAAATCATTTTTGAATGATTTTAGGAGGGTTGGTTTTTGAACAATTTTTAAGAGAATTCAATTGTGAAAATCTTTAATAGAATACAATTTTGAACGATTTTAAGAGGATTCAATTTCAGATAGACTCTTATCCCTCGGTAATGTAGACTCACCTGGACATCCTTGGTAAACTGATTGTTGCAATAAATGTGTACAGCCGAGAATTCCCTGACGTGGTCGAACTCGAACTTGATCTCAAGCGGATGACCGGATCTGGTGTCGTTTCTCCATCCGACCCATCCCTGACCCCTATCGTAATCATAATAGCCCATCTTGAAGTTATCGGGCCCGATCTTGCCGTCTGTCAGTTGTCCGAGTCCTCGCAGAAGCTGGCCGTCCCAGTAACCGTCGTAAGTTGCATCGAAGAACTCCCAATTGCCGCGTTTGTCACCTTGTGGCATCGAATAGGATACGATGCCGTCGTTCCATGGGCAACCGTACAATTCCACTCGCATGCAAACGGTCCGACGATGGTAACTGTACGGTAGGAAACGGACCTTGCTAGCCCACATCGGTGGCTCTAGCTCGTGCTTCGATTCCAGGTAGGTGTTCGTGTTACCCTTGATCACCTGCGACAAACATTCGATACAGGTTACTATGAATTTTCTTGTGAGATGGCTATTTTCTATTGTATCGTATTTTCGTATGAGAAGATTACGAGTAACAGTTTGCAAATGGTGAGGTGTTGGACGATATGTGAGCTATTTAGATTAGATAGAGTTGGAAAATTTGTACTTTGGGAGATATTTTAATTTTCTGAGGTTATTAGGTTTCTGTGAGCTGTTAAGTCTTGTAATTTTTATACTTCTGGGGTTTCTAATTTTCAATGTAAGCAATTACTAATTTAGAGGTATTCCAAAACTTAGAGGTAATCCAAGGTTCCTAAAAATCCACATATGAGAGATCTAAGTTCTCAAATTCTCCCTACAGTAACTACATTTTTTCCTAACTGCACACAAACTCTTCTAAGTTAAATTTAAACTTAAAGTCAAACATCGGAATTTTTAATCTATAGTTAAGTTTAGTTTAAGTCCCTAAATTAAAGAGACTTACCACAAAAGTGATGGTAGAACCACATTCACATGTATAGGTATGACATTTGATCACCATTTAAAATATAAAACTTAACCTAACCATTCAAAAGTATATCCAACAAACTCCGCATACCACTAACTTCAATATACAAATTTAATTTAATCCACCTTAATCTAATTTAATTATTCTACCTAGCCATTTGAAATCTAAGTTGATTTATCGATTCGACACGGTAGAATTACCTTTCCAGACTTATATAATATCGTTATAAATCCCCAGATTAGAATGTTAATAAAAATCCAAGTGCAAATAGCTTCAAAGTGCAAGTAAACAGCGTCGCATAAATTAACGTCAGCTTAGTGCTAGAAGTCACTTGTACGTCCAGCTTTCCATTACTTACGACTTGTTAAGTTTGTTCAAACGACAGCTTCCTCTACAAGTCATAGCTCATCACTGCTTTTTATTAAAGCACTCGTATCCGCAGGTTTACACTATTCAGCAATTAACACTAGATTTACGGACATTTCTTATATAACTACACTACCGTCCAACTATCGAACACAAGCGAAATATGCATTCACGTTGCATGAAAGTTATTCAAGTATCTGCAACAGTAACTAAAATCGATTTTTTTTCTGCGAAGGTCAGAATACTGGAACGTTTTTCGATTGATAATTCTCGTTTGGAACTCATATCTCGATGGAAAAGAAGCTACAGACGAACTAAACCGAAACTGTCGAGTGCGTAGCGTTACCTCCATTCTTATCTCCATTGAGGGAACCTAAACATCTACCAACAGTTTACAAACACTTGAAACATATCGAAGAACCCTCTGAATACGTTCTACACCATAGAAATGAAACGCAGTAGAAATTAAAATTTTTTTTAGAATCGAAAGCGTTTCATTAGATTCACAAATTTGGACTTTGTACTTCTGGACATGAATTTTACTTTCACACTTTCATTGTATAATTTGTACTTAAAAATTAATTCTATTACGTTATGACACCTCAAAAAAGATAATAATAATTATTACAAATGATATGATAACCCTAAATACCTTTCGTACAAAGTTCAACTATGTTTCATGTAACGAAACCAAGTGTCCGGATACTTATGGACGGTAGCGTAGGTATCTGAAGACCTTGAGACTATAGTCCTTGTTCCTGTCAAGCTCCCATTGAGATCCACAAACAACCCGCATATTCTATGACTTGTTTGAATTCGAAGACATACGCACTAAGCTTCCTAAACTTGAAGACCTAATCTATACCTAACCTAGAACTCTCCTAATCCCAAACCTAACCTACGTTTAGCAACATAAAAATTTTGAGATCGTAACATAGAAATTTGCAAATATAAAAAATCTAAAAATACGAAAATAAAAATTGCAAAACTTCATAAACCCAAAAATGGTTAACTACGTTATATCGATATAACGCGGTATTCAAGAGTTATTAACCGTATTTATAAAAGATGGATCATTACCAACACCTGGCACCGATAATTCGAGGATATCCACTGAATTATTCATTCTTAACGGGGTGAAATCTTGACCGAAGTCTGGAAAAATTACGATTCACTGTTCGAAACCTGTCGTTAAAATACCACAAACTATCGAGCAGTGTGCGTATACACCTGTCGGGATCACGACCGCGATGAACCACGGTCACGTAAACGGCCATACGTGAGAATCTCGTACTCGTGGAGTCGAGAGGCGCTGTCAAGATGGTAAGTGGAAAATAAGAGGTCCTTTGTTCCGAAGGGACGACCCTCGACGACGAGAAATTCTCGATCCTCCGACGCGATACAGCCGTTTCGGACTCGCGTCTACAGAATAGAACGTGCGTTTGTTCTATCCAATATGCGAAAAATCGCAACTGGGAAACATAGGAAAGATCCTAGAATATTTTTCGCTAGTAATCACGTTTCTTTCGTAAGCACAATTTTTTTGGGGGAAAGTCAAGTATCAAGTTTAGGAATTAGGGGACATTAGAATTTGGGGATTTAGGTATTTTGGGATATTAGGATTGGGGGATCTAAGTATTTTGGGACACTAGAATTTGGGGATCTAAGAACTTTCAAGTAGGATTTTTTATAGGAATTTGGCAACCTAGTGATTGGAGGGATGGGAATTGGGGGATATAAATATTTGGAAATCTTGGAGTTTGGGAATCTTGAGATTTGGGGATCATGGAATTTTGGAGGATCTAGGGATTTAAGGGTCTTGAGACTTGGGGATCTAGGGATTTGGGGAATCTTGGAATTTGGGGAATTTGGAATTTAGGAATCTTGGAATTTGGGAATCTTGGAATTTGCGAAATTAGGAATTTGGGGAATTTGGAATTTGGAGAATTTGGAATTTGGGAAATTTGGAATTTGGGAATCTTGGAATTTGGGAAATTTAGAATTTGGGAATCTTGGAATCTGGTAATCTTGGAATTTGGGAATCTTGGAATCTGGTAATCTTGGAATTTGGGAATCTTGGAATCTGGTAATCTTGGAATTTGGGAATCTTGGAATCTGGTAATCTTGGAATTTGGGAATCTTGGAATCTGGTAATCTTGGAATTTGGGAATCTTGGAATCTGGTAATCTTGGAATTTGGGAATCTTGGAATCTGGTAATCTTGGAATTTGGGAATCTTGGAATCTGGTAATCTTGGAATTTGGGAATCTTGGAATCTGGTAATCTTGGAATTTGGGAATCTTGGAATCTGGTAATCTTGGAATTTGGGAATCTTGGAATCTGGTAATCTTGGAATTTGGGAATCTTGGAATCTGGTAATCTTGGAATTTGGGAATCTTGGAATTTGGGAATCTTGGAATTTGGGAATCTTGGAATTTGGGAATCTTGGATTTTGGGAATCTTGGAATTTGGGGAATTAGGAATTTGGGGAATTTGGAATTTGGAGAATTTGGAATTTGGAGAATTTGGAATTTGGGAATCTTGGAATCTGGTAATCTTGGAATTTGGGAATCTTAGAATTTAGGAATCTTGGAATTTGGAAATCTTAGAATTTGGGAATCTTGGAATTTGGAAATCTTGGAATTTGAAGACCGTAATTCGCAAAGTTCGAATTTTAGCATGTTTCAAGATCAAACAATTCAAGAATCTATGGTTTCAAGAGCAAATGTAAAGACCTAAAAATCCACATATAATTTTGAACCCCCAAAACTCAAAGTTAATAAAATGCAAGGTCACTACAAGTTGCCAATCGAAACTGTACGTTCTGGACGTTCCATAGATTCATCTCGCGATTAACCAAGCACAATAATTATAGTCCGTTCGAACACGTTAACCAAACCAGCACTTTTCGAGGTGTTCTATTTTTCGTGCATCACGCCTCCGAGATTCGCGAGCGGAGCCAAGAAAACAGGATTAAAAGATGATGATCGTCGGGCCGGGCACGTTCTGCGGCGGGGCGATCCAGTAATTGGGACCAGTGGCTGACACCGTTTTATTTGCGCTCGTTATTCCCGGCCGTACCTGATGTTTAGCACATCGAAACGAAGGCGACACGGAGGGAGTGGCAAACGGTGAAATACAATGAGCCGACACACGTGAAATTTTACTGGGCGCCGTCTCCTGGACATCGTCTCGTTTCTACTTCGTTACAGGAGTTTAATGAGCGTCGACGATCCGTTCGCCGCGGCGTGAAACGCCTCGTTAAGAGGCCGAAATATGCGACCGTAAACGGACCAAACAACTCTGAATGATACAGCGAAAAATCTCGGGCTGTTACGATGCTCGTTGCACTTTGCTGACGAAATTCCTGCAGTTGGCAGAAAAGGGATGCATAAATAGGGTACTGTAATTGGAAGCTCTCTTCGATACGCGACGCGAAGAGATAATGGAGCAGCTGATAAGCGAAAAACGTGGGTTAATAAAAGATGCAAACTACGGATGTGTACTTTAGTGTATTTTAATCAGGTAACTCAGAAATAAAGGTCCAAGACCATTTTTGTGAAGGAAAAAATTCGAATCAATTCAGATATAACCTCTTTGCAGTTGCATTAATTGTGAGACGCTCTGTATATGTTATCTTAATATTTCAACTGCTCAAAGTAACTATTTTTGATATTAATATTTTTGTTATAATTTTTATGTATGAAGTTAATCGTATTAGTCTAAGGATCTTTAATCATACTATTCTTAATATCATTGATATTAATATTTTTGTTATCATTTTTCTGTTTGAAGCTGAACACATCACTCTACAGATCTATGCTTTTCAAAGGAAAGTGAATATATTTCTTGTTTTTCTTGTTTTTCTTGTTTTAAATATGTCTATCATGTTTTGGAATATTTCTCTTTATCATTCAATATATTTTTGCGTTTACTTTATTTTACATTTTTTGTTCTGAACATTGTGATACGGCAAAATAACATTGATAAAATAACATGTTAAAATAAAATTGAATAAGTGGATAATAGAGAGGTTAATGCTGAAAATGTGTAGTTGCACATATCACTGATCCTCCACATTGTTGCAAAACAAGGGTGAAATATAGTATTCCATTTATTCAAATAAA